TACGCGCGTGTGCCGCAGGCGATGGCGCAATTTGTTCTAAAAATAGAATTATTGTCCCATATCATGGGGACAACCCCAATACTTGAAATGACGCGCGCTTACGGTCTCCGTCCCCGATTATGGCTCCTGTTGTCACTCAATATTAAACGGATGTTTTTGTTTTTTGCTACTGTTTGTTTGCTTTTTTAAGGAAGTTTAAAATAACTTTTTAATTAGAGTTAAATCTACCCCCAAAAAAATAACAAGAAAACTTTCGAACATTTTGGAAAAGGCCACGGACGATGCTGATAACTACTGTTAGAGTGTTGTAAATACCGGTTTAAATTGGATTTCTTAGGGGATGAAAAATTGTCTGGCGCGAGACGAGATGGTCGCGTCTGCTAAGGGTCTTCTAACACATCATACCCTTAGGCAACAAGTATTAGATTCCTAATGACTATCGGTGTTATTCTTTGCGACACTTTGACCTTTCTGAAACCATTAATCCTTACATAATCTCTGAACAATGAATCATTGCAATCGGTCAAATACAGTTAACTTTAAGCTTATATAGGTGGATCTACTTCACCCGGGAGGAGGGGGACTCGTTATAATGGCCTATACAGAGAGGCTCCACGCGAAAGGAGTACCTCTTTCAGCCTTCAGGTATATAGAAGGGTAGGGATTTCACAAGTTGAGATATGTGAAAGGGTTGGGAAATCATTTAGTTATTTTAAATGCCCTTTAATTAAAATATTTCCAACAGACGCACCTTATGGCTGTATCATTTCAGTTATTGGGCACAGCTACATGAAATTGAAAATAGCAAGAAGACTCCCATTTTGGCGATTTATTCATAATAAATGAAAGTACAAGGGGTACCTACATATTTTCAATTAAAGATATAAGAAAGGAGTACCTTTTCTGCCAAAATGGCATACAAAAGGGGTTGGACCTAGGGGTGAAGCCTCTCTGTATAGAACTTTGTAGACTGCCCCCCCCGCCCCGATATCGTCGTGCCATCAAAAATGGAAATGACAACTAATCCATAATTCAAGACCATTGAAGTCAAGAATCTGGGATATGATAGATAATTGATAAGAAATAATCTCATCAAGATTTAGATCTGAGCAGTTTTTCATTCGCGCGTTATTCGGAGAAATAAATGTTTCACCCAAATTTCTAGAGCTTTGTCTGGAGACGCTATGTTGGTGCCCCTCAGGGGGAGGTAAAATAATGACAGGGTGACAGCGTCATATGAGAACCTATAATTCAAATTTCGAGAGGAAGTGAGACGTAAGTGTCTTGTTACTACTTAACCAGACTTCTGCTTTGATCAATTTATCAAGACATTCCCTGCAATTGCTGCGCGTAAAACGACAGTGATTGAGCTAAAAGAATGGCTGTCGACGAACGCTTCAGTGTTGTCGACTATGTGGTATTCTCCGTCATGTTACTGCTCTCGGCGCTGATCGGAATATGGTACGGCTGCGGACCTGGAGGAAAACAAAACACCACTGCTGAATATCTTCTGGGAGACCGCCAAATGAAAAGCTGGCCAATTGCTATATCTATCCTGGTGTCTTTTCTCTCAGCAATATCCCTACTGGGCTTGCCAGGAGAGATCTACACTTATGGAACCCAGTTTTACGTTGTTGTCTTGAGCTACGTTTTGATTTGTGCGGCAACAAGCACCGTGTACATTCCAATGTTTAGACGGATCAAGATCACTTCTGTTAACGAGGTAAGAAAATCTACAGGTTTCGTTGCGATCGATAGGCTAAAACGCCCAAAGAGCTCCAAATTAAATTTCAATCTTAAAAAAAGTGACGCAAAAACTAAGGAAGAATGAATGTTTCTTTCGAAGGGAAGGGGCGAGTTTGTGTTTTGTAATATTTGAGGGATCCGGAACGAGTGGTCCTCTGGAAAACCCCCGAAAGACTAAGCCAACCAAAATCAGACAGCAACAATTGAAAGCGCGATATGTTGACACTGACCTTGAACTCAATACCCTGTAATTAGAATGGGTTTAGCGTCCTGTGCAGTCTTTTCCGTTTCCTCTTAGTGGGAGAAAGCGAGAGCCAAGGGCAAGTCGCGCGAATGCGTGGGGCGAGAGCAAAACGTTAGGAACGGGGGGAGGGGGGATGGGTAGTGGTGGGTAGTGCCCCTCCCCCCTGCCACTAATTTTTTGTTACCCCTGTCTCCGTGCCCTCGCGCGACTCCCGCTTGCCTGAAAGAAAACGGAAAAGACTGGTACGCAGGCTAGTGCATGCAGACGCTCTTTAAGCTCGTCACGCAATCTTCCTCTTGCATAACGAGCCTGAAGACTGTCTGCGTAGGAGGCTAGGATGGTTTTCACTAGCGTAAACAATTGTGAAGTTGAGAGAGGCTTCACCAAATCAATGCCAGGGTCTGACTTGCCCCCAGTCGNTTACGTTTTGCTCTCGGTCAGCGGTTATATTTGGTGGAATAGTCATGGCTGGAGCATTTGCTGTGAAATACACTGGTACAATGGTGCTACAGGTAAGGACACGGCCGCAAAATAAATTTATGTTAGTTGCCGTAAGGAAAAACTGTGACCGAGGTCTTGAAAATGCTGTCCGGGACCGCAGGCCGAGGGAAGCGTTTTCAAGCCCGAGCTCGAGGTCACAGTTTTTCAAGATACGGAGCGACCCTAAGCCGGAAAATAACATTGTTTTTTTTTTTTTTTCCTGCGGTAAATTTGTTTTAATTACAAATGGGTTTGTTTACGCAACTTTGGCATTGAATCGGCTTGCGTGCCATCTACTAACGATTTGGAAAACATTTTCGCAACCAGCGAGTAACTCAGATACTAAACAAAGAAAATGCATTAAAAATGAGAACAGGTTTATTTCGAACTACTTCATGTTAGTTGTATTTAGTTCACCACTTAAGTTCTCCAAAACCGTTTTTCCGGTGTGAAAGTTTGAAGTTGTGCTAGGAAAACAATATCTGTCAGTCGTTGCAAATCACTTGAAATCAGGCTTTTCTCAGCTTTTCTACCCTAAATTGAATAGCAGAAAGCGATGAAATTCGTTAAGCGTATTACACAGAAATTTTCTTAAAAACAACAATGCAACGATCAGGGAGGTAAACTCGACTGAAATTGATTCATTTTTTTACGTAAAATTTTACGGCGAGAGAAACACAGGATTACGCGCCATTACAGCGCCGAGCTACAAACAGCCAAATAAACAAACAAACAAACAAACTCCCACAACGTTAAAACACTCAATTGAATTTATTTACAGTGACTTTCCTGTCATTTACAAGTGACTATAGAGAAACTTGCGTTGATTAATCGTCAACAGAAGTATAAAAAATGCAAAAGATTGACGATTATCGCTAATTCGTTCGCGAACTGATAGATCAACATGATGATTCCGCCCGTCGTGAGCGGAATTGCGCCCGCCCCGGAGCCAATCAGATTGCAGGATTTTTTTTAATTCCGCCCTCTCACGAACTGAGAAAAAATAAATGGATGTTATGCATCCGCTACCACTCAGTAAGATTCAGTAAGTCCTACATTTGTTTGTTGATTAACAGTGTCCGCAATTAGCACATCAAGATTCAACGACACTTAAGTAAAAACAACTACACAGTGTATCGGTTCGATAGTTTGGTGGCAAAAGGCCACTCGACGTAGTAGGTCACGTGACCTCTTTGTCTTGGTAACAAAATGTTAAATTACAAATACAGCAAGTGGAAGAGCGCGACGAGGTCACGAAAATCCCTAACTGAGGTTATTGATGAGCTAAAAATATAGTGTGATAAAATAATAGAATTATTGTAGTTTATTTCCATAATTCCATTCCTCTTTTAGCTTGCCTACAGTATTACTGGGATCTGTGGTGGAGCCTTGCTTGCAGCGATTACACTTGGAATGTTTGTGCCAAGGGTTAACTCAAAGGTACAGGGACATTTTTCTCGAAATTCACGCAAAGTCAGATTCATAGATAGTGTCATAAGGTTCTTAGGGTGCGTTCGTTTGGGATGATCTGGATCAGTATCAATGATCCAAATTAAATCGCCCGGATCATGGTACATCAAAGGAACCGATGAATCCACTCTAGGCAAGGAAATTAATCGGTGTTTTTTTGATGCACCATGATCCGAGCGATGTGGGATTATTGATCCTAATCCAGATCACCTCAAAGGAACACACCGTAAGATGGTGTAAGATATGGCTAGCGGTAGATAGTGCTGTCGGTGTTGATGGTAGTATTTGCAATTATTATTAAGCGCGATTTTCACTGTAACGTTGCGCGTCGACAAGGCTGAATCTTTATGGCTTATCGACGGTTTCGGAACAAGTTGAACCACATTCAACGTTTTCTGTAGATACGAACGGCTTAAGCATTTTCCCTATTTTATTTTACGCACGCAAAGCATTAACCTTCATGTCCGTGTACGCGCGTAAAATACCTCGCCAGTGAAAATCCACCTGTATTTTGTTTGTGGTGGATTTGGTGGTGGTGGTAACTTCGATGATTGGATCTCCGGTTTCAGTAGCAAGAGCAGGCAAAGCCGGAAAATTTCCACGAAACCTCACTAATATTGCGGCCCTGTTAAAACTTTTCACACAGGGCGTGTACCTGGGAGTGTTTGCTGGATTTTCGCTATCCGCCTGGGTGTTCATTGGTTCCGTTTTCTATCCGCCTGATACAGACCCAGCAGTTCGCTCGGTTAGAGGATGCCCGTTCTATCTGGATGCGCAAGCCTGCGCAGCAAATATCACTTTGCCATGCCATAACAGTTCGACGGAGATTCTGAATAAGTATTGTGACGGATTGATTAGAAACCCTTACAAACCACACACAAGGTAAAAAATAGACTACGGCAGTCTCTTTTGATAAAACTAATCGAGAAAATGGTCCAGCATTCTATAGGTCGTTTTGTTTCCCCTAGACCACCAGTGAGAATCGATAGGGGCTGCCCATAAGCTAATGTAAGAGAAATATACTTAAAAAGAGCATTGTCCTATCTATTTGTTGAGTGTCCCTGTATGACAATTCAGATTTCCCGCATCTGTGCAAATTTTCCGATATTTGTTTTTATATTTTCAAATTACGATATTTGTTTTATTTACAGTACGCCAATAGCTGACCTCTACAGTTTGTCATATCTGTGGATTTCTGGCTTGTCGTTTGGTGCGGCAATCCTTGTTGGAGTGATCGCAAGTTTCGCTCTTGGTAATTACATGTGATTAATTAATCATTATTGACCGTGCCCAATAATGCCAATTTACTTTGCTGTGAAACCCTATGGAGTTGACCGCATTGCGAGCTCATGGAGCCGGTTTGCAGGATTGCATGTACCATACACCTGTAATCTGTCGTCCCGATTTGAACTACACGGCCATCACTGATGCGTGGCCAAGTTTGTATTCTTGGCATGAGATTGGAATGAGCCTGCAATTGAGGCTTATATATATGTGGAAAAGTCCTCTCAAATGCAAATGGTATGGCTATTTCATGATACCCTTGCTTTAGCCTCCATTTCAAGTTAGTTCCAATTCAATACCGAGAATACACGAAGTGTTAACATATTTTTACTTCTCTCTTTTATCGCTTTCTTTCTTTCTTATCGATTTGTTTATTCACAGACAAACAAACAGACAAACAGACAAACAGACAAACAGACAAACAGACAAACAGACAAACAGACAAACAGACAAACAGACGGACAGACAGACAGGCAGACAGACAGGCAGACTGGCAGACAGAACTGAGATTTACAGTCATAGATATAGACAGACAGACAGATAGGCTGACAGACAGACAGATAGGCTGACAAACTAACAGATAGACAGACAAAAAAACAGCAGACAGGAAGACGAATGTATTGATTCCAAGGTGCCTAGAGAGTTAAGTCCCTTTTAAAACAAAATCCCTCATTTTTAAGTCACATCTTTCCGGCCTCAGAATATGGCTTCACTCCGAATATTTTGTCCGATTACTAACATTATTATTATTATTTCTATTATAGAAACTAAACAAGACCGATTCAAGAAAGTGGATCCCATGTTAATATTCCCGCTGAAGGCTTGGTTACGTGGATTTTTGCCTGGTTCTAAATTCACTTGGGAATTCACGGATGAAATTGATGTCGAGAAAGAGGTAAAAATTACTGTTGTATATTTTAATAGGTGCGGACGCTGTAGTATGACTGTGCAGTAAACAACATTATTATATGGCTTGTGTTTGTAGCCGATAAAACGTGCGCTCTGTTTGACTGATTCAAGGCCATTATTTTCCCGTGATGCCCACGGGCCGATTGCAGGCGCGCAAAAACAAAGCACAAAGCCATATAATAAAGAACTTATTACGTTTGGTCTTTACTGGAAAATCTCCAATCCCGTTCTTACCGTATTGACCTCGCTATCGCTGGGTCAATACCGCAAGGTCTCGGTTTGAGATTTTCTCGTAAAGACCTCATTCTCGGCTGATAAGTAGTTAGGGCAATTCCTCTAAGTTGGAGAGCATCACCTAGAATTATATAGCTCAAACTAATTTTCTACCCTTATCAGTTTTTTTTTTTGTTTTGTTTTGTCTTTTTTTTATAATTTGATTATTAATCTGATCTGCTTTAGGACCCAGACAAAGTACCAGATGAAGAAAAGGAAAACATCCAGTCAAACCAGGAGACAATATTGTGATCCAGCGTGTAACCATGAATGCACGCCGCAGATATTGACCACATTTCATGAAACGCAAGAGAGGATCACTCGCTGTTGAGAAACACCAATCTGTGATACTCGAAAAAGCTTAGTGTGATCTTGACGCAGATGTACTATCGAAACATAACAACTAAACTCATGTCTTTCGTTAAAAAATAATATAATCAGTCATGATCCATATTACTCTGAATTTCAGCCGTCTCTTCAATTCCCTTTATCCGCAAGGGGGGAGCGGGAGAGAGACACGTCGCTCTCTCGCGCGATCCCCTCGTGGATAAATGGGAGAGACGGCTGAAATTCAGACTAGATTCGTTTTCGTACTGTATAAAACGTAGTGATTTCTAATGGTAGAAATCTAAGCTAGTAGTCATTTATCGTTACAGTAGAGTTCATAGCAAGTTACTACTTGACTGTAAGTAGATGAATTTTAAATAAATAATTATATGTGGGTTATTGACCACGCGTGAGGTCAAAATGACTGGATATTGGCCAAGTTCTTTTCTGTTTGTTTGCCACCTTTACATGCCAGCTAAATCTCGTCTGACTGAATTAGTTTCTCCCTCGCAGAACATAGATATACTGACCTTGGCGTAGCGCAGGTGTCCACGACATTTTCACAATCCGAGCTGGCCAGCGGTAAGACACTCGCAAGGACGCTTTAATGAGTCTAACACTAAGAACTATGAGGCTTGTAACAGAGGGTGAATAAGTTAAGTTGAGCGACTCTTAGTTAGTAATATGTGGGCACTTACTGACCTCCAGAATTTGAATTTGATCACCAGGGTCGTCCACCACTCCGCTGGCCAATAACTGAATCACAAGCTGATGTTTTTTTCCCCAAGAAAATAAGAAAATGACCTTAGATTAAATCTCACACTTTTTTTGTTTGAACATAATTAATCTAGGCGATAGAGGACGTCGATAACTATTGTCAGAGTGATGTTAAAGGCCGTTTGCATTGAATTTCTCTGGCACATATCTCAAAAGGGGCCAAAAAATTGCCGGAAGTGAGACAATGGTCACGTCTGCCAAGGGTCTTCTAACACGTCCTACCCCAAGGTAGTTAGAATTATATTTCTAATGACTATCGGTGTTGTTATTATTTGCGACAATTTGACCTTTTTAAACCATTAATCTTTACATAATCCCTTAACAATGGATCGTTTACATGCATCTTAGGTGGGTGTACTAATGTTGTCATGAAATAGAAATCACAACTAATCCTTAAATAAAGTAAACAATCTGGGATATGATAGATGATTGATATATAAACAAATTCTCCAAGATTTAGATCTGTGCAGTTTTTCATACGCGCGTTATTCGGAGAAACTTTTTACCCAAATTTATAGAGCTTTGACTGGAGACGCCATGTTGGTGTGCCCCGGATGGCTGTCGTAAAAGAACAGAAACATCAGTCATTGAGTTTTGCCTTTAAACCCAACAGTTATTAATAGAGTAGAGCTCCAGAAATTCGACTTATGCAAGGACTGTTGATTTAAGTAAGTCGTCTTTTGACGTACCTAGTCGCCATTTTTATGTCACGCAGCGCAAGTGCAAGTGGGTGGAAATTCAAACAACGAAAAATATTGACAGAGTAACAACGTCACCCGTGTGAACCGGCGATTCAAATTTCGAGAGGAAGTGAGAAACGTCTGCTTTGATCAAATTGTCAAGACAGTCACTGCAAACGACAGTGATTGAGCTAAAAGAATGGCTGTAGACGAACGCTTCAGTGTTGTCGACTATGTGGTGTTCGCCGTCATGTTACTGCTCTCGGCGCTGATCGGAATATGGTACGGCTGCGGACCTGGTGGAAGACAAAACACCACCGCGGAATATCTTCTGGGAGACCGCCAAATGAAAAGCTGGCCAATCGCTATATCTATCCTGGTGTCTTTTCTCTCAGCAATATCTCTACTGGGCTTGCCGGGAGAGATATACACTTATGGAACTCAGTTTTATGTTGTGATTTTGAGCTACGTTTTGGTTTGCGCAGCCGTAAGTACTGTGTACATTCCAATGTTTAGACGGATCAAGATCATTTCTGTTAACGAGGTAAGTTTCGTTGCGATCGCTAGGCTAAAACGCCTACCGGAGCGCCAAAATTTCAACCTAAAAAAGTCAGGAAGAATGAATCATTTCTATAGTCGGGAAGGGTTTACGTTCTGTAATATTTGATCAGTGAATGCGCCCTCCTCTGGAAAAGCCAAGCCAACAAATATGAGACAACAGCAATACGTGACTTTTCATACCCTATATGCTGACCCTGACCTAAACGAAACATTCAGTTTATAAACTTGAGAACATGTGTTTTACATGTATACTACATGATCTTAGCTACGCAGGAATGATCACAAATGGATCGCACTTGCGTAAATATTTGAGAAGGGCTTCACCAAATCCTTGTCAGGGTGCTTAACAATCCCCATTTCAGATCAAAATGGTCGAAATCCCTCAGTTTTTTTAGTCTGAAAAGAGTGGAACACTGTACCCTATTGGGGCGGGGGCGGCACGTACGAGCGCCTTTGAGCACCTCTCCCCTCACTGGCCCGAAGAGGTTAGTGAGGTACCGTCGTAATTAAGTGACATAAAGCAGCCCAAGGGAGGTGGTGAGGGGTTCGTGGGAAGGTTATAATGAATCCGTGACTTTTTCTTTGCCCCCCCCCCCTCCACCACGAAAGAAAATAAAACATCCCCTATCACAAAACAGCACCACCCTCTTCACTACCCTTTAAATTCTTTACTATATTACAGATACAGCTTTGAAAATCAGAAGTCATGAAAGAAGTTATGTTTAAAACCACTCACACAAAAAGACTTTCGGAACTCGATACACGTAGCTGAATATTGAGTGTCAATGTATCCAATTGCCTTACCGCAGGTCATTCCTCAAGTGTTCTCTCTGTTGTAGACTAGGCGTCGTCCCTCTTTCGCTTAGTCCGCAGAGCGAGACCGCAAATAAACCGCGAGGAAAAAATTGCCGCTTCAATTCGCGCGCTTCTCGCCCCCAGGATTTTGCGCGAAGGACAGACTGCTCATCAGTTACGTCATCGGAGCAGAGCACACTGGGCTCGTCACGCAATCTTTCTTCCCCTGCGAAGGAGAACGCGCGACGAGCCCAAGGAGCGTTACCCGTTCGGATTGACTCAAATTGCAACTTATTTGTTCGTCTCATATGAAGTTCGACGTTTGACCTGGGCCTAACTGTCTATTGAAGAACTCTTCATATGCTGCAATTATCTGTAATTACCATATCATTATTTATTATTTTTTCTAGTACCTTGAAAGACGTTTTTCTTTTGGAGTTAGAATACTGGGCAGCGGTTTCTTCATACTTTCCATAGTAAGTATGTACATGTCGTCAAGCTCTGAATTGCTTTTCCATCTTTGCAGTAGAATCGTTACACAACGAACATACCTTCGAAAACAACCACTTAGTGCAGTAGAAGACACAAACAGGAGATTTTGGGCGTTTATGTAACAATTCACACAAATTATGACCGGAAGATCATGAAACAATAAATACATATGGTGGACTGGGGAGAGTTCTTTCTTCTTGCTCACAAGAGTCTGGAACTAGCTAGTAGCGTGTATAATTAATCGTGCCCAATTTATGTTGCATTCCGTGACTTTTTTTTTAACTTTTACTCATTATAACGCAGACGTTGTACCTGTTCGTGGCACTGTTTGCTCCATCGCTGGCACTGGAAGCTGGTAAGTGAGGATTGTCTGGAGGTAAAATTACCAACAGGACTTCACAGTTTGCAAACCTAGGGTCAATTTGGGTCATTATGGGAATAAACGGCCTCAGTTTCAACATAGTGACCTCGGCCAGAGCTCTAACCCTGGAGCTCAGCCCGCATACAGTCCACCGCACTAACCATAAGGACCAATGCACCTCCCAAGAAGGGCGGGGTAGAGACGTTAAACTGAGCAAGTAAATGCACTGCAATAGGCTGCTTAAGGTTTATGTGTCGGATAAGTCGTTTTTCTCTTGATCATAATCAAACACAACACATCACAACAAAAACGTCAGCTTCTAATATTAACAGTTCAACTATCTTGACTGATTCGACTTTAGTAGTTCGTATAGCTTGATCGTCCGAGTGAGGCCAGGGTAGTTCTGCTGGAAAAAACTGTTGCTGGACGCTGCCATTTCGACAACCTGAGCGAAAGTCATCTTCAGAATTGTATTTAAAAGTTGAATTAGAAGAAAACTTAACCCAACTTTTGCTGCGATAGTGAATGAAATTGTTGTCGGTAAGACAGATGATTCGTATGATTTCAGTTTCCTGTTCTTTCATTGCAGTTGCAGGCATCCCTCTGACAGTTTCTATCCTGGCCACTGGCGCTGTTTGTACGTTTTACACATCTCTGGTGAGTTAGGCTTAGACAGCGCTATATTCTATTACGACAAGAAACGATAATTCATCTCAAGCTCCCGGTTCCAGAAATTTTAGGAGGGTCTTTTTTTCGAAAAAAAGAAACGCCTAATCGCAGGTTAGAGGGACTTGGAATAGCCAATTGCATTTTACTACCGTCTGCAGTCTAAGTAGTTTTAAACCGGCCCAGCTGTTTTAACCTCCAGAAAAGCAATGGTGGAACGCGCATTGCGGAACAACTGGGTATCATCTTTTACTGAAAATAACAACTTGAGGAGATTACCTTGGGAATAAGGCCTGTCAGGGATGAACTCTATACCCTGCATCCTCTCCTGACTGTGAGGCGAATGTGAACGTGAGTAGCTTTAGAGTCTGTAAAAGATCTCTTGTGTCGCGGCATGACTGCCCCAATACTGTGATATCATACTGCAGTAGAACAATTGAACCAGGGCCATCTTCATTTTGTGAGACCAAGTGACAGCTCCACCAGTTGCAAATGTGTTTATTCTCCAGGGTGGTCTGAAGGCCGTGGTATGGACAGATGTGTTTCAGTCGGTGATTATGCTGGCAGGTCTCGTCATTGTCGCCGTTACGGGAAGCATAGAGGTCGGAGGTCTCCAAAAAGTCTGGGAAATCAATCAAAAACATGGACGAATCCACTTTTTTGAGTATGTTTAACATAACTGTCGAAACTTTTCGTGGCATTTTATATATTGTTTTCATTGAACGAGGATTATAGTTAGCGGCAGAAGCGTTCCGTTGGATCTACTAGTTTTTACATCGCGTCATAGTAAACACAGCCAATCAGGATAAAGTAAAGCCGTTGTTTACAGCCGATCTTTCCATCGTACATTTCGGGTATGCCGCATAGATTGTGCTGGTCACTGTATTTTCTATGACATGGAATAAAGTACAAGTGACAAGTGCCCGGGGATATTTCATGGTATGCCAAGTTAAGGCGTTGCATTACTGGTATGTGTAGCTTCCCGGAATGTTTAAACGGTATTCTATTTTCTATTCGCAGCTTCAACCCAGACCCCAGGGTTCGAAACACGTTCTGGACTCTCACCATGGGAGGGACTATTGCTCTGTTGCCAGGTTGGGCTGTGACTCAGCATTTTGTTCAGCGATATCTTGCGGTGAAGACGCTCAGGGATGCTAGAAGGTCAGGCTCAAACAACATGCCACGCGGTTTCTCACTGCTCTGCGTGCACATTTTATGCGTTTATTGTTTATTAACTAGGATCCTTTATCTTCTGGCTTAACAATATAGTTGTTGCAATGTATGTTTATCGTATACAGTGAAGAAAGTTTTACCCCTCGGGGAACTCCCATAAAAAATTTCCCTTAGGCCGTGAATGCCCGTCGTCTCGCGTAATCACCGGCCGACTATGATCCCACTTGGGGCATTCAGGAAGAAACGTACTATTTTAGCCGTCAAAGCTCCACACAAACAAATATTAAACAAACGCTGTTATATTCGTTCTAAAGTGGTGTCTCGACGGGCATCCCTGACCTTTTCACATGGGAGTCTGCACCCTGGAGGTGGGGGCGGGGGATGTTACTTTAGTAATTCTAACGCAAAGCTCTGTTTGTTTCGTAGAGCGCTGTGGTTGAACATCCCAGGCCTGTTTCTCGTGGTAACTATCTGCGTGCTGGACGGAATGGTGATATTTGCCACTTACGCTGACTGTGATCTTAGAGAACAAAGAAAGATCACTAGAGGAGACCAGGTAGAGAATGGGGGCGACTTGGTAGTTTGGACTTTTAGGACCTTAAGTAGTTTACGTTTTCACTCCCAACATAGGCTAAGTTCCAAATGGACGATGTCACTTTGCGTAATCCCTACAAGAAGTAGAGGCCAAAGTTTCATTTCAATGTTACACACTAAAAATTCACGGACTAAAAGTTCGGAACCATATCGTACAGCATAATAAACAGCACCACATGTACTGCTCAATAGCTTTCAATTGAATATGATGGTCACACACTAGGGCTACATACACAGACTTGAAACTAAGTACCACCTTGTACGGCATAATAAACAGTCACTCCCCGGGGTCTCTCCCTTAACTAGCACGAAGTTTGACTTGGTTAGGGAGGGGGTGAGTGTTAAATGTCAGTCTTTGTTACTCGATTCATTCTCCCGTTTGCTTGACATTTCATTGACATTGTAAATTTCAACTTAATGTTGTTCATTCTTTGTTGACATCAGGTTCTGCCATATTTCGTTATCAACAAACTTGGACACCTGAAAGGCCTTCCGGGAATGTTTACTGCCTGTCTTTATGGCGCTGCCCTCAGGTACAGTTGAATTAGTGTCTTGACACTGAGTAGGTGACACCTGAACTTCAAGGCCTAGCGGTGGAAGAAATTTAATGAAACTCTAGCCGCAAACATATAATCTAAATCGACGTACCATTAACGCTTCGGTTGAGCTAATACGTATATCTACACAGGTTAATAAGGCTAATAAGTTACGGAGTATAAAGTATAGGTTTCCCCGAGAAAGGGCTAAGAAATTTTGACGTTTTGAAAGTTTTCTATCAGTCTTAAAGCAGCTCAGTCACGGTTTGAAAAGTTTAGCCTAAATTTTTCAAATTCGTCGTTTGCAATCCGTGTCAATCTTCGCCATCCTTGCTCATCCTTGTTCCTTTATGGTTTATTATTATCTCTTTGATGTTTTTCTATCCTAGTAAACTATCATTTTCAGGAGATTTTGTACGTGGCCAAAAAAAAGACAAAACACTCTGACTGAGCTCCTTTAACTCTCCGTAATCTTTAGAGTAATTATCAACTAGAAAAACACGAAATAGTAATAATAATAATAATAATAATAATAATAATAATAATAATAACATGTAACGAGAGAACCCAACTCGCCATGGAGATTTTCAGTAGGGTCTTCAAAGAAAATTAAATTAATTAATTAACTAATTTAAAACCAGCCTAATATAAATAGCTAACTACACAAAATGTACAAGCTGAAAATCCATTACAATTAGTAATTAAAAAGTATTCAGTTTCGTTTTAAACATAGATAAAAATTTAGTGTCTTTGAAGTCAAAAGGAAGACTGGTCCGTGAATTGAACGTGACGCGACTTGTACTTGTTCAAACTACCAAACATTTATCTCACAGCACAATATCATCTGCACTGAATGCGATGTCTTTAGTGACTCTAGAGGACATAATTAAGAAGAAGATACCTCTAACTGACGCACAGGCCACTAAAATCAGCAAAGTCGTGGGTGAGCGCCAATCATATTCAAATGTTAGTTAATTCTTGTTAAGCGAGTGTTACATCTCTACGTTGAACTGTTCAAGTATTTTCTCATGAAATCCAAGATGACGCACTTGATATTTAACAATTATAGATTATGAGCTCGAGATTTCAATCGCACAGTTCAAGTCAGCTATCACGCATAGACACTCAGAGAGTATAATCAAATTTTTTTAGTATAAGTCTTCTAGTTACTCAAAATTTTATCTAAATCCTCTTCACAGATACTTCGAAATCGGAAAGATGCGACCGCCATTTTGTTAACAACCGCACGCTGCCACGCTACTCAAAGAATACACAGAATAGCTATAGATGATGAGTAGCGTAGCCAATCAGAGGATGGCATTCGTGTTCTAATGCTTGTACTAGATTTATAACAATTGAGGTTAAATCTCGATTGATGATGATCAAGAAAAGATTAAGGTTAGAGAAGTAATCCCCCATAAAGGCCTTCTCTTATTATGATATGTTTTGCTTCTCCGTCAGCGGTTACATTTGGTGGAATAGTAATGGCTGGAGCATTTGCTGTAAAATACACTGGTACAATGGTGCTACAGGTAAGGACACGGCTGTAAAATAAGCGAATGCTATGCATCCATTGTCACACAGTGAGTCCTGCTTTTATTTGTTGATTAACCGTGTTCGCAATAGACCTCATCTGTATTCTCGGAGTTGGACTGGACTGGGAGGCTAGTTTGCAACGGAGAAAATCATCAAAAAAGTATCAGTTGCAATCTTCTAGTTCTAATCCAATACCGAGAATACACAGACAAGGACAGCGTGGCATAGTGGTTGAGGAACTGGATTTGTAATCCGGAGGTCCTGGGTTCAAATCCTCCTCCCTGCCACTGGATGAATTTGTGTTTGGTGGTCTTAGATTCGACTCCTCCACGCTTTGTAAATAGCCAACTGGTCAGTCTCCCGCCATTTGGAATTTTTACAATATTTGTTTGCTCATTTCAGTGTCCTCAATTAATACAGTAGTGCTAAAGACTTTGACACTTAAACAGTGATTTATTATTATCATTATTATTATTATTATTATTCATTTTTAGAATACGAATATGGCCTATGAGCATAACTGTGCTAGATTCAAAAACACATAAAGGCATCTACACAGTCTACTGGTTCGATAGTTTGTTGTCTACAACTTGTAAATATGCCGTTTCTTCTTCCGTTAGCTTGCCTACAGCAATGCGGGTATCTGCGGCGGAGCCTTACTTGCAGCGATCACACTCGGAATGTTTGTGCCAAGGGTTAACTCAAAGGTACAGGGACCATTATCTCGATTTTCATTCATAGTCAGATCTATAGATGAGAACATGAGATTCGTAGACAGTGTAAGATATGGCTAGCGGTATATATTAGTGGCGGTTTTGATGGCAGTGTTTGTGACGACTGTTTAGCGAAATTTTCATTGTTAGGTTACTTTACTCGCGTCAACGAGCCTGAATATAACTGGATTATCGACAACACACAGATCAAAAATTGCTGATTTGACTGCGTACTTCCATACTTAAAAATTCTCCCGACATCCAGCTAACATTGCAGCTTTGTTATGACTTTTCACACAGGGCGTGTACCTGGGAGTGTTTGCTGGGTTTGCACTATCCTTGTGGGTGTTCATTGGTTCCGTTTTCTATCCGCCTGATACGAACCCAGCGGAGCGCTCGGTCAGAGGATGCCAGTTCTATCTGGATGCGCAAGCCTGCGCAGCAAATATCACTTTGCCGTGCAACAACCGTTCAATGGGGATTCTGGCCAAGTATGATGACGGATTGGTTAGAAACCTGTACAAGCCATATACAAAGTAAGAAACTAGACTACGTTAGCCTCCTCATAAAACCCAATTAGAAAAACAGTCCAGCAGTCGAGACCAGTTTTCCTCTAGACCACCAGTGAGAAGCAATATGGGCTGCACGTAGGCTAAAGTAAAAGATATGTTATAATAAAATAAATGAGAATATTCAGAGAGGAAGTCACATCAGCCTCAGCTGTTTTCATGTGGTTCCTCTAGCCTGATCGAACTGGAATTTAGCGATGTTAGTTTTGTGGAGGGAAGTAAATCGGAGGAACAGGAGAAAACCATCGGAGCAAGGCGAGAACCAACAACAAACTCAACTCACATATGGCGCTGGGTTGGAATCGAACCCGGGCCAGATTGGCGTGAGGACTGAGCGTTCTCACCGCAGCGCCGCCCGGCCATCCCTGCTTCCCAAATGGAAGTTCTCTCTTCTATTTGTGGTGTGCCCCATGTAAAAGTTCAGCTTGTCATCTGTTTAAGTTTCTCCATAACATATATTGTGCTAAGACGCTGTCCAAGAACACACGACTCGAGCGATAACTAGTCTCATAAGTACTAATGACCATTACGATATTTGTTTTGTTTTACAGTAAACCAATAGCTGACCTCTACAGCTTGTCATATCTGTGGATTTCTGGCTTGTCGTTTGGTGTGGCAATTGTTGTTGGAGTGATCGCGAGTTTCGCTCTGGGTAATTATATGCTACTAATAATTCAATACTGACTGTGTCCAATGAACCCCATTTTACTTGGTTGTGGGATGCTGTGGAGTTGGCTGCATGTACTATTCACCCGTTATCTGATCCGGTCCAGAGTTGAACTCCATGGCAATCACTGATGTGCATTCATGTTCGTATTCTCGGTATGAGATTGACGCTAGCCTGCAATTGGCTTCTGAAATGCAAATGGCTGACTATTTCATGATACCCCCTTCATGCGTCAGCCCCCATTTCAAGTTAGTTACAATCAAATGCCAAGAATATTTAGTTATACAGTCGAACTCCTATAAAGCGGCCTCCTATTAAACGGGCACCCCTTTTGACGGCCAGTAATCAAAGTCCCGATGAGGGCTTTTGCCTCTTTTAAACGGCCAGCCCCCTAGCTTTAAGCGGCTGCTATGTGGCAATTTAATAGGGATTGAACTGTAGTAGTAAGATATTCTTACCTCTTTCTATCAGTCTTATCTGTATATTTCTGAAGACACAGGCAGACTGGCAGACGGAAGTGAGACACACATGCATACATACATACATACATACAGACAGACAGACAGTTAGACAGACAGACAGACAGACACTGAAAGAATAACATATAGATTTCAAGGTTCTTTCATAGCTTTCCAGTATCAGAATATGACTCCTCTCAAAGTATTTGGTCCGGTTACTAACATTATTAGTAATATATATTATTAATGTTAACTATTCCTTTTGTGTCCGTCCCATTAAAGAAACTAAACAAGACCGACTCAAGAAAGTGGATCCCATGTTACTCTTCCCGACAAAGGTTTGGTTACGTGGATTTTTGCCTGGTTACAAATTCACTTGGGAAGATGAAGCTAATAATTTCAGCGATAAAATTGACGTCGAGAAAAAGGTAAAATTATTGTTGTATATTTAAATAGGTGCTGACATAGTGCTTAATTGTGCAATAAGTGATCATAAGCAGTAAGGTAACTCGACTAAATTAGGTAGCAGCACCTCAAACTATATGGATCAAACTAATTTTCGAATGTAATCATTTATTATTATTATTATTATTATTATTATTATTATCATTATTATTATTTCGTCACTAATTAATTCTGATCTACTTTAGGACCCAGACAAAGTACCAGATGACCAAATGAACGATAACCAGTCAAACCAGGACACAAAATTGTGATACAGTGTATTATCATGCATATCGTTGACAGTCTGAGGCCAGGTCCACACTACGCCAGAGGAAATTGAAAATTGGAGATTTATTTCTAAGGTTAGGCCTACCGTCCACACTAATCTGTCACGAAAATGGAGCTTTTAATTTCGAAAACGCTCCTTAAACCTGAGGAATTTGAAAACGTCGGCTTTTCGTTTTCGTGTGGACCGAAAACATTTTGAAAACGGAGCTTTTCGAAAACGATGGCCTCTAGATAAACATGTGATTCCCCTGACAGAGTTTTCCTCAAACACAAATCCGAAATGACCAGTGAATGTTGCGTTTTTAAATTCCTCCGGCCTAGTGTGGACGGAAAACATGATACTTTTTCAGAGTAAAAATCTAGAGTGAAAACTCCTTTTTCAAATCCCTCCGGCGTACTTTGGACGGGGCTTGAGAGAAGTTGATGTACTCACGCGCCAATACAAAAGCATGCCACAGATATTGAACACATCTCATGAAACGTAGGAGAGACTATCCCCTCTTGCGAAATGCCAGTCTGTGATATTCGAAAAAGCTTAGTAGAGTAGCCAAATTATCAAATATTTGCAGTATATGGTGTTCTCGAAGTAGGTGCATTATAGAAACATAACAACACATGTTTTTCGTTTAAAAAAATTATAATCATTCATTACCCGGTATTGAATTAAATGTTCTTTGTATTGCATAGAGCTGTACTGATCATTAATGAGGCCCCATTGGGGAAGGGGGATGGTTTGCTGTGAGTATCCCACATCCCGTTAATTGTTGGCCCAAATATCCCGTATCCCGTTAATTTCAATTGCAAAAATTTACGATTTTCCCACTCGATATCCCGTTTTATCTGATCTCTGATATTCTATATCCGGCTTTTATCGACACCTGCTGGTATTGGCCATAATAATTTCGTCAATTACATCGAAATCTTTCATTATAGACATTATAGAACAAACGGAAATGAATACATGAGGCATTAATTGATTTCTTTTGAGAGTTGCTTCCCTCAAGGGTTGATTTACGATGATGTAATTGAAATCGATCCAATTGGACACCGGTAACCCAGAGGGGCTGTCAGGAAAGCCTGGAATCGAATGTCTAAAGTCTAAAAAATAAATTTCCGGCTACTACTTTAAACTCCATTAAAATAGAGTTTAAGCTATAATCAGTAGTCTACCTTTGGTCGATAGTGTTTAATCGAAGGTATGGCTGTCGATGATCGATTCAGTGCTGTTGACTATGTGGTTTTCTCCATCATGTTGCTGATCTCGGCGCTGATCGGAGTATGGTACGGCTGCGGACCTGGTGGAAAACAGAAGACAACTGCTGAATATCTCCTGGGAGACCGACAAATGAAAAAGTGGCCAGTCGCGATATCTCTTCTGGTGTCGTCTCTCTCAGCCATAACTATACTGGGCTTGCCGGGAGAGATATATACTTATGGAACCCAGTTTTATGTTGTTATCTTAAGCTACGTTTTGGTTTGTGCAGCCGTAAGCACTGTGTATATTCCTATGTTTAGACGGATCAAGATCACATCTGTAAATGAGGTAAGCTACATTTCGTTCGCCTCCATTACTGGGGACTTCTCATGAGGTTGAGACGACATACCATACCCTATCACTAACAACATGGCAACAACTATAATTACAAAGAAACGTTTTTGTATAATTTTTCGAAAAAACAAAACAAAACAAAACAAAAAACAGATAGATAGATATTAGGGCTACCGATAAATTGGAATCATGCCCAGTAAGAAAAAAAACCTCTGTCTTATTGTCTGGACGGTTCCGAAAAATATGAGGTGCTGTGCCGATATCTTAACGCATGTAACTTAGCCTTTACGTTCAGTGCCCATAGATCTGAAGATTCAGCGGCCGCTCCAACGCCGGATAATGCGATGTGAACTAATTAAAACCGTCGAAATAAATAATAAAATTGACTCAAACCGTTATACTAATTCCAGTTAGGATAGGTAAATCTGTGGGGCAGCGTCTGGCAGGAGTTACCTAAATTTGTTCCAATTAATTATTTTATGATCAAAATCTGGAATTCAAAAAATACAAAACGGTTACACGAATAATTCCATTTTATTTTTCCAAAAACTCACAGAAGTTATTATTTGGTTACCCAAGTTATTTCAGAAGAATTTCCGCAAGCTTAATAGATGTGCACGGGCGAGTTGTTTGAAAGGAGGTCAGATTCGTGACTTCAGAAAATGCTTCTGTGCTTTTTAGCCAAGGGTTTTATTTCAGGCAAGGATTTGGGTCATCTTAACTAGTCACATAATAATCAAAATTAAATTGTCCCTTTTAGGACTTTGCTGCCCTAGTTTTACGCTATATCTGTTTTTTTTTTATATATATATATATATACCGATTAGTACCTTGAAAGACGTTTTTCTCTTGGCATGAGAATGGTGGGCTGCTTTTCCTTCATAGTTGCATCTGTAAGTATCTGACCTGAATTATTTATTTATTTATTTATTTATTTAATTATTTATTTATTTTTGTTAAGTTTTTAATCTTCATTTTGTAATTTGGACAGCTTCATGAGCAATGTAATTAAATGGTAATCGTAGCTCAATTTGGAAAAAAAAATTCTGATTGGCGAAGAACGAATACTACCTCTACGACTTTTAGACTAAGACATATAAAAACGGACGTTTTTCGCTATGTTGTAAAGTTAGTACACAAACTACTTCGTTCCAAAGGGGTAATTTACCAAATTTACCTTGTTATAGATTTGTAGACTACGAGTAGTCCCTCTTTCGCTTAGTCCGTCGTGCGTGACGCGAAAAAAATGGCCGCACGAAATCCTGGGGGCGAGGAGCGTGCGAAAGGAGGGACTACCGCCTAAGCCCTTTCACGACCGAGTGATTTTTCAGTGTAGGATTTCTCATCTTGACCTCCTCTTATTATCGCCTGTTGTCAATAACCCCAGGACGTATCCTGAATAAAATTGCTCTACTCTACTCTGCTCTTCAAGTAACCAGGCAAAAACATATGCCGTGAGAAGTATATCTTCGTTCAACGTTCGTTCAGCGAAACTGCCAAAGAAGTTTTAAAAAGAAGACGGCGAATGAGGTATCCTTGTAACGATTTTCGCTGTGTCTGTAGGTGTAAATCTAAAAGTCATTGCGAAAATTTCAAATGCAGAGTTTCAACCGAGAATTTATGTTATGTATTTGACATACGAGATCATCCAACTGCGGTGAAATGTTTGCCGATAGCAGTGGAAACTTTCAGGTGAATGTCCGGTTTCAAGTGAAAGTCTGGTTCAATCTGTCAAATGGACAGCAGAAAGGCCAAGCTTATTGAACTTTATAATTATATTCGCTGACTTGGACGATGCTGTTGAGCGGCGAAATCAGTAACACGCTCGCATTCGGCTGGGAGGGGGAAAGCTTTGCCAAACAAAATACTGGATAAATTCAAATCTTTCCAAAGCCTGTTGACAGATTCGCAAGAACATCACGGCTTGCGAAGCGCGATTCCAACGCTTCGATTTTCTTTCAAATTGGTACCGCTTCGATTTTCTCCGGTTCCGAAACATTCCTGCAAGACGTCACACATATCTCGAATGTTGACAACACGGTGTCAACGCCCTTAACATGAGCCACTCATATTTTTGCGTTGCTTGGGCTTAGGCAAAGGTCCCTCCTTTCACGCGCTCCTCGCCTCCAGGATCTCGCGCGGCCATTTTTTTCTCGCGGTTTCGTTTCGCGTCACGCACGACGGACTAAGCGAGGGACTACTCGTAGTCTAATAGATTTGGTGAACCTATGCCGACAAATGGGGAACCCAAATTAGAGCTGATGGAGTGTACAAACCCATTTGTTGCTGCAGACAGGAAAGCCTGCCCTCCATTGCATTTTTATTTTGGGGCAGTTTTTATACACCTCAACTGGTCAAAGTGTTAATCACAATGTGCTGTGTTTACATTTGAGCTTTTACCAAGGTAAACAGTTACTAAGGTCCAGTTACTTAACCTTGGTACATTCGTCCAGTGTTTATACCGGCTCAAATANTTAAACCGTGAGCGACAGAAATAAGTTCGAAATACAGTTGGACCCTGCTAATTCGGGAGGGGGAGGGGTGGGGGTTCTGAGTATCCCACATCCCGTTCAGTTTTGGTCTAAATATCCCGGATGCCGTTAATTCCAGTTGCAAAAATTAACGCTTTTCCAACTCAATATCTTGTTTTATCTGATCTTAATATCACATACAGTAAAATTCCGCATATATAAAAACCTAGAATTTTCGAGGTCAGGCTAAACAGGTTCTTACATTTTAGGGTTGTTTTTCACAATTCAGACTGAAGGTTCCAAATAGGTCTTTGTTTCTCAGATGTTGCACATGTATATTTTTTATTTCACATGGACAAAACTGAGTGTTGAGATGGTAAAACAATCAATTTAAGGTCCAATATATCCCGTATCCCAAAAACCCTTCTAGCGCCTTAACTTTCAAAGCCGCCATGATCGAAACAATGAAAAAGTAAAAAAAGAAAAAAAAAAACACTCGCGCGAGCCCAGCGACAGCGCGAGGTCGCACAAAAGTGGCGGCAAATGGAAAGAACCCTGAGGGGGTGGGAGAGGGGTTTCTGGGACGGCCGATATTGGTAGCTATAATCCATGAAGTGTTTTCGCTCGCGCGCGATTGGTCTAAACGCATCACGGAATATCCGAGTGATATTCCACAACTTTCAAACCCCGCGTGTTGCGAAAAACATTTGAAGAATAAACACAATAGCCTCTGTTTGGTGCGAAAATATGCTCGGATACTTGTCCTTGGACATTATCTGTTCCTCGAAGCTCAGTTTTCCTCGCTCTTGGTTAACTGTTCGCTTCTCAGAAGAGATAATGTCCGGGGACAAACATCCGATCATATTTCCGCGCCAAATGGAGGCTATTGTTGATATATTGTCAATATTTGATGGAAAAATACAAATAATCGCATTTGCAAGTACTTTTTTTTTTTTTCACTTTTTGCGCCTTCTATATTGATCAATGAACCTATTTATTCTTTTAAAAAATGCTAATCCCGGAATCTCTCTTTTAAATATCCCGTGTCCCATTAATTCTCCTCTCGCCCCCAATATCCTGCATCCCGTTAATTCCCCTCTCGCCCCCCAATATCCCGTATCCCGTTAATTCCCCTTCCCCCGCCCTCAATATCTCCCTGTAATTTTTCACCTAAACATCTCATATCCCAAAAAACTCCTAATAGGGCGTCAGTGAGATAAAAACTTTACTGTCAGTGAAATGGAAGTGTTTGGGTTTGAGAGGTGCTGAAAGCTTTATATTATTACCATCTGGCTGACATAGGTTACATCTCAGTTTTGTCATCGGTAACTAATTGTTTAAGTCGTTACACGGGAAAGCGATGAAGTGCTACTTTTAACAATAAAGAAACCTAAGCTGTGTATTACACCGTGATAAAACACGATGGGCATTTGAGAACACGAGGGAAATGTAGCTAAATGTGGAAAACACGGGTCGCAGGCGAGTGTTTTCTACATTTCTCGAGTGTTCTCAATTGTCCGGAGTGTTTTATCACAGTGCAAAACACGGCTTAGGCTTCTTCATTTACTCTATGATATAGAGCTAATGTAGCGAAAAACAATAAAACACGCTTTTTCTATGTTTTACTTTCAAATAAATAACGGCAATTTAAAATTCACAAACATGTTTCTATTCTCTTCACATATCGTAACACACCGATGAAGGCAGATGTTTCTGTCAAAACATGTTTGTCAATTTTGAAATTGTCGTCATTTATTTGAAATTAATTGTTATTTTCCTGCTGTCCAAACCTTTCGATAAAGTTTTGTCATCATTCTTGGTGTAAGTATTTTTACTGTCTTTGCTTGTTTATGCCTTTTTCGCTATTTTTCGTCTTCCTTCTCCAGTCTTTGGCGCATTTGCGCGTTTAACTTTGCTTAACTATTTTCGGCTAACCTAAATTTTGACCATTTTGTGCGTTAGAAAAGATGTAGGTATTTGTATATTTAGGTAAACTGTCTTACCGATGACAGCATTTATATTTATTGTTAATTAAGTCTTAGGTATCCTTTACTGACATAAGGTTTATTTGCTTCCCTGGGCTTCCTTGCCTTATAGATTGATATTTTATAAATATATTTATAATAATGCAAAGAGAATAATAAACAAAAATATAATTTGCAGTCAAATCCACTTGGGCGTTATTGGTTGTTTAATTTTCGTGTGTTTTTACGTAATCGTAAAAATAGTCAAGAGCGTCGAAAAGGAGGATCTGATGGAGGTTACTGTCACGTTGTAGTTGCGCGTAATCTGTTACGTGACGAGTGTTGTGTTGCATGTACTAATAAAAAATGAATACATTTTCGAAACTAATCGAAAATTCAGGGAATCAAAGTTCAGGCAATTCAGACAGAAAAGTTCGAGTAGCTCGTCATTCTATTCCGAAGATGTCTGCATCGCGTAATTTGGACGTATCAAGAAAAGCGGGTCCATTTTGCTAACAAAAGGCTTT